CATCAAAGATGCTGTCACATGAATAAAGTTTTAATAACTGAACCGCCAGAGGCTGATCATCTGCTTGAGCAGGCGGGTAGTAAGCGGAATCAAATGAAGCCTTTGGGAAGATTGTGTATCAGTAGTGTAGATTGTACAACTCAAATTGATCGCTTTCTTAGTATCATTCTTAATCTCAAATAGTTCGCAACATGTGATGAGAAAATGTCAGTTTCCAAATAGAACTACGGCGGAATCTTACAGTTGCGTTGCATACAGTTGTGTGATCCTCATTGAGGACTGAGAATCTTGCAGATAAATGTTTTGATTCTATATGAAGGCTACATTTCCTTATAATCCACTCATAAGGATTCAACTGAAAGCGACCTTATTTAAACAGTTACCATCTACTCCTTTTCGCAACACTACATTCGGTGTTGTCGATAAATAATGGTGGTTGAAAACTAAATCATCTTCATAAGTTGATCAACTTGCAATGAACAGAAAAACACTAAGACTGAATAGTTTCCACATTAAAAAACAATTTTAAATACAAAATCTCCGCTTTTATTATTACTAACTGCTATCCAGTTCTAGTGTGAACTGATTTAATTCAATCAGAGTCAATGTGTAGTTTGACAACCTAATTACCCATCTAAAAACAAGCAGGTAGGAATTCTAAATACTTATACATTTATGTACTATGAGGTTTATGGGGACCTCATTTTTAAGGCTGTATTCATCATGAACTGACATCAGTCGGCGAACCACTGAAAACCTGGGAGCACTGAAAAGCTGTTTCGTCCTAATATAGGACCCCTCAGCAGTACGTACTCACGACCTCGCCAGGTATCGAATTGACAGAAGTAGGAAACTGTGGACCATTGAACTCTGACTCAGTGGCTGAATGATCACCGCATTCGCCGTGAAACTTGAAGGCCCTGAGTTAGATTCCAGGTGGAATCGTGGGTGCGTACTGCTGCAGAGCACTATACTAAGAAGAAACAGCTATGCAGTCCTCTAAGGTTTACAGCGTTTCCTCAAATGACGTCAGCCCGTGATGAATACAACCTTAAAAATAAAATCCCCATAAACGACATACTACATTACTGTATAGTGCTCATTGGTGACATGCTTCAAGACGAATATCCCGAAGTTCTACAAAGAAACTACGACTAGTGCAGGGTCAAGCAGTCGAAAGTGAAGCGGATGCCGACCAAGGGCCTTGGTAAATAGTCGCACTATATGGCAAATTGATAGAAGTAGGAAACTATAGAAATTCACAATAGCTTTTAACAACGAAAGAGTGCGATTGTGCAACGAAAACAGTAAGCTATTAGACAATGAAATCGTTAATCTAAAGCTATTAAAAAAAACGAAAAGTAGTTCAGTGGAAAAGCTTTTTTCCACGACTTCATTTCCAAAAATGTACAGTCACAATTATATATGGATGTCTTGGGTGAAAATGTTCAGTGCGTTACACTAACTTATTTTGTTTTCTTCAGAGGACATGGTAACAAACATGATAATTTGTTGACCGATAATAGACCAATCTGTTTGTCTGCTATTATGATAAATACGATTGTACAGCTGCTGAAAATGATTCGTCAAGAAAATTTTCTTCGTTGGATTAATTTGTATTTTTGCATACTTCATTGGGAGTTTTTTTCTGATAATTTCTCGTTAGTTAAACACAATGAAAGTTGCTAAGGTTAGGGAATATCAACCATAATTTAGTAGAGATCAAATATTCGACAAGGAGTTGCGTGACAAAATAGAATAATTGAAGAATGGACTAACATCAAAAATTATAGAAGCAAATAAGAGTTGACATTGCGTAAGAAGTTACTTAGTGTCCATACATATGGTACGTACTTTGCACCACTGAAGCGCAAAATACTTTTGCAAGATTGGCAGGAACCTGTGCCTGCCCTCACCCTCGTTGGAAGTGGCCAAAACTTTTGTGTATCTGGGTAGTTGTGTGAGTGCTGGTGAAAGCGTAAGTGATGAAGTTTCTATCCGCATATCGAAAGCCAGAATGGCATACACCAATCTGGGCCATTTTTGGCGCCGTCACGACATTAGTCTGACCGTTAAAGGTCGAGTTTACAAGGCTTCGGTGCGAGCAGTTCTGCTCTACACCGGTGAAACCTGGCTCCTCCGAGCTAAAGATATGCGACAACTCTGTGTGCTCGATCATCGTTGTCTCCGTAGGATTTCTCTTGTCCGGTGGCAACACCATGTAAGTAATTCTGAGGTACGACAGAGTATGTTTGGGCATGATGGAGATTGTCACTCAATAAGTGAAGTCACCTGGAAACACCAGCTTCGGTGGCTTGAACATGTGTTACGCATGTCGTCCCAACGGCTCCCACACTATTCATCGTTTGCTAGCCCTAGGACTGGATGGAAAAAGCGGAAGGTGGTCAGTGTATGATGCGGTGGGGTGGGATGAGTAGGTGTATCCAGTTTGCATCTGTTGGTGCATCACTACTCCCTGGGTGGGATTCGAGAGATCAGGCAACTCAGTGGCTTGAGACATTATCAGATATGGCTCAGAATCAGAACCAGTGACGGTCGTGCTGTAGCTTCCTTCTATCTTCTGCTGCAAAAAAGTAATGAATGTTTTGCTTTGAATGTATCTTGTTGGATTACCCCTCTAATCATGTTATTCTTATTGTTTTTCTTTCTTACTTATCCACTTCTCATAGTTTATGTATTCACAATGTTGGTATACTGTTTTGTGTGGCGCATTTCTTGATGCCCTTGCTGTATCATGTTTGCGTTCAAATAATAACAGTAATAATAATAACAAAGTTAGTAAAATGGAAAAAGGAAAATAACGGGTGGTTTGAAACGTCTAAAATTAAGACCATGAAAGAAGTTTAACTATCCATTTTTGCATAAAAAATATCGATTTTCCAGTTGAATAGCCAAAGCTTCAGCAATGCAAAAGAGGCGAACACATACAGCCTTTGGCATGCTCATTTTGACACTGTAGATAACTGTGAAACAAGAAGTTGTCGAGATTTCATTGTCAGCGTTGATGAAGTGTCCAATTTTACTATCTTTAACTAATGATAAATTATCGTATTTGTTACCATGTCCTATGAACAAAACAAGTTATTGTAAAAACATTGGACATTTTCACCCGAGAAAATTGTATGTAATTGTAATCGTACAATTTTGGAAATGAAATCGCAAGGAAAAGTCTCTTTACTGAACTACTCTTGGCTTATTTTATGACTTGATGGGGATTTTTTCCTACCGTTTTACCTCACCAACTGATGAGCAACGTTAACTTTTACGTTTTATTTGAAGTTCACAGTAGAATAGGTGAACCGAAGATTATTTATTAACTTAAGTGTTTCAAAATATTATCAGATCTAACTTGTTGTGTCATTCGCCTGTACAATAACTTTCTTACACTAACCAGCATTTGCATCCTTAAGAAACAACGGGAGACAGAACCCATCTGCGATTTGATCATCTTTTAGCATATGCTACCTTTAACCTAAAAGTTAAACGAACAAATCAACGTAGAACCTTGCGCAGAAGTGCGTTTGTTCAAGCTGTGAAGTATCACAGCAGCATACAAAGAACAAGTGGACAGAAAAAGAGTAACATTAAAGTAGACAAAATTGACTAGGAGGAAATAGCATTCTTTTAAAACGAAGGTTGATGAAAATGATTAAACTTTCAACAATGTCAAAGAGTGAATACATCTGCGCCACCATGACCGATTTTCAGTTATTTGAATAAGGGTCTCCAACGATTGTTTTCTATTACTTCGAGGAGCCTAACCAGATAGTTTTCATCTTTCTACGCAGCTTAAACGAACAGTCGAAAGCTTCACAGACTGACGTTACGTCTCGGTCTGATCACCCTGAAACTATTTTCAAACTGGTCCAACTTCGACTGACACAACAAATAAAGGTAGGCAACGGCTCAGCATGCGCAGCACATATCCACGCCATCTCAATTGGTGAAGGTTCCTGATTTCATTGACTGACTTGTCTTTATTGCCTAGTACCCCCCGTACACACACCTAATTTCGACATCGCTCACACAACGATTTCACCATAAATGAGCAATGTTTTGAAGAAACCTGTGATGAAAAACGTGTTATCTCTTAATATCTTCCAACGGCCATATCTCACAGGCGTATAATAGGATAGAGCGGACTGAAGCGCAGCATATCCGTCTTAAAATGCGAAAATCACGTATACCTTCAATCTTTACGCACCAGCCTGTTTTATATTGGCCTATCTGTGGATGAAAATGAAACGCAAAACTTCCCCAGTCAATTCCAAGAATGTGACTTGGTTACTCTAACTTAACATCAGTAACGAACACTAGAAATCACTATCAAATATTTGAGTAGTTTGACAAAAGCGGAAATATATTCGATATTTCTCAGCAGAGAGCAAAGAGAAATGCCTTAACTCAAATTACAATAAAGTGAATAAATAAGCGCTTCATAAGAAAACGCCAGTGTAGATTAATGCTTTGAATCACTGATGTGAACATTCTACTTGATGTCTATTGCACCAGGAGTTCACACCTATCAGGACTCTGCATAACTATAACAGGTTGTTTTGAAACAGGTTACATTTCTTTGAAAAAGCTAAGTCCAATGTCAAATATTTCGTAAGCAAATAATATGCATTAAATATTCTACTTAAAGGAATTTTTTCATTATCATATAAGAATTTCAGGTCATAATCTAGCACAGAGAACTGCATATCTCTGCTGAGCTGTTGTATTCAATGCCTTCAACACACCTATAAATCGAGTACTACTGAATGTATGGGCGAGTAAAAATAGGTAGGATCCCGACAAATCAAAAGTTAGATTTAGACGTTAAACAATGAATATACACTTATCACTATCTAGTGTCATCTAACTTAGAAAAGAATTAGAGACAGTCCTACCTATAGTCAAAGTAATAATGCAATACCTGAACCTGACTGTAAGACCTTTAAATTAGCAATTCCTGAGAAAAAAGAAGTTAAGTATACCTGGCAGTAGGCATGGTTTCCCGTAGCCTTATGCGCTTCATCGAATATAAGCAAGCGTATAGAATTAGCAGGACACACGTCGTTTTGTAGATCATTCATCAGCACTTGAGGTGTAAGAAACAGAACTCGATAAGAAGACCAGATAGCTCTTCGTTTAGTTTGTGTTACTGATCCAGTCAATTCAATAATATTCTCCTGAAAAGGTCCAATAAATTCGGAACATGAAGTAAACTGTTGTGTTACAAGTGGTCGAGTTGGTGCCATAAAAATAGACTTTCCTGTTGGATACCAACGGAAAAAATTATACATCACTACAGCGGCGATAAATGTTTTCCCAAGTCCTGTGGGCAAGCATACAAGTGTATTTTTATATAGACATTGTTCAACAATATTCAACTGATATTTGCGTAAGTTTGAATCACTAGGGTAAATCCATTTAGCACCAGCGTCAACATTGAAACCTTCCAAATGTTCTGAATCGTTGGCTGTTGGGTGATATGTAACAGGTGGTCTTTTCAAAGCATCAGTAATAAACTTTTCATTTTCATGACTTTCATTCTTGTTTGAAATGTTGTTGAGCTCTGGATCATCATTAAATTGATCAAGAACATTAGCCAAGAATACATCATCAGAATCAACTGATTTGAAATTTTTCGAACATGAATCTACATGATTATTCACATTGGTCGAATGAAGGGGAAGCAAACTTGTCCAAGACTGCAACAAAGAAGTCTGCTTCATAAACAATGTAAATAATCGATTCTCACTTGAGAAATCTAGATAATAAAAATTAGAAAATATGGATGCAATTAATCAAAAACTTTATTGGTTACGGAACTTCTTCTACAACTTATAAAGCAATTCAATATCCAGACTCGAATCCTAAATATTTTAATAACCAACTCAAGTAATCAAGAATATAGTGTACAGTTTTTGCACATCCATGGAAACCTCACTTTGGAGACTGTTATTTAACAAGGAAAACAACTAAGGTTGAGAAAAATTTGAAGAACAGTTGAATTTTAGCTCTCAGTTCTCCAAGTTATCGATCCAATTCGTCATTCAAACTAACTTAAAGATTGTCTATCCGGATCACTGTGATTTTCACTTTAATCAGTTAAACATTCTCTTCAAAGTCTTAATTGACCGAACTGAAGTGGTTTACCAATTTAAGTTTTTCTACATGACATTCATATATTTGCTGACCCCGAAATTATATTGAACCTCTATGTCAAAAAAGGAGCTCGTAAAGTTCGATCGACAGATCTACGTTAACACTAGGAGCTATAACATCACATTTATCACTAACTAATGGTTGTTTCTTGCATTGAATTCAACTCCGCAAACAACAAGTCATAACGAGAGTCCCTCAATGGTTATGTCTATGACATCACTAAAATGAATGACTCAGTTTTCCGTTGTCAAGGGAAAGTTGCGTTTCTTTTACTTTATGTAGTAGATATTTCCTTCAGATGAGCACCGCTAAGCACATAGTCTAATTTCGAGGCTCCTTGTGGCATCGGTTGCAACCACCAAATAATTGGTTACGATGAACTATTAAGAACTATATAAGACCTAGCTAACTTCTAGCCAGTTAGCCTAAAAAAAGCTTGATATCAGTTGGAGGAATATTGGAAACCTGGAAGCACTGGACAGCCGTTTCGTCCTAGTATGGGACTCCTCAACAGTGCGCACCTACGACCCCACCTCACGAGGGATACAACCCGGGGCCTTCAGGCTCCGTAACCAGCAAATTACCATTGAGTCACTAGGTTAGAATCCGATGGCCCACTGCTGAGGAGTCCAACACTAGGACGAAACAGCTGTCCAGTGCTCTCAAGTTTCCAATGTTCCTCCGACTGATATCGGTCCAAGATGAATTCTAACCTAAAACCAATTAATAAACCTCCACAAACCTCCAGGTAAAATACTTGATACTCAGAACTAATTATACTGAAGATCTCTGAACTACTGTTCTATAGAATTTCTACTTCATATAGAAATAGAAATCGGGAAGGAAGTGTAATGCATTTATGAGCTGATCTCATAGGATACTTGGATCCCAAGAAATACGTTAATATAGGCCATTTCCTTCATTTCTGTCTTCATATGCTATTTCGGAACTCTCATCTCCACAACCGGTGTATTTCAAAAGGAAACTCATCAGCTGAACTCAACACTTATTTTTAAGTAAACTATCTTCACAAAACATACCTCAAGTAATTTTATTACACGTGATATCCTTAATACAGTATAAATCGAAATGCACTCAGCAACCACATGCAGGCTCGTACGGTAGGTAGTAAGCCGCACCTATTGTGTGAGGACTAGAGATACTATCTGGTTGCCTAGACCTCAGCAGATGGTGCGTGATTCGAACCCGTGATCTATCAGTTGGATGTCAAGTTCTTAAACCACCTCCTTGTTAGTAGATGAAAATAACTGTTTTTGATAAGAAATGCAACTGAAGATGGGATCTAGCGTGAGAAAAAATTCAATATTTCACAAAACGACATCTAGTAACAATAAGTGGTTTTCGCATTTCGGAATTTCTACAATGAGTAAAGAAGTATAGTTCTTAGAAAGTTACATAGAATTTTACAGATAAGCAACATTATTAAAAATCAGCATTCACTTCTTACATATTTGTTTCTATACAGCATTTATTCATCGAAATAACCATCAGATATGCTTAGTTATGAATTACATGTACTGGCAACTAATTTAAGGTTTAATTGTCTAGCATTTTATTTTAGCCTACTTCAGATGATCTAATTTAAAATAATCAATAAATTCTTATCGACTCTGTGAGTAATATATCCGAGGCCTGCGTAAAAATAAATACTGAGGAAGTGTGATGAAAACAAGTGAAATGTCTAACCATAGTATTCAAAAGAGAAGAAAAGCAGGAAAACAATGTCACGCATTTCAGATTGAGATACATTATTGAGTATACTGCAAATAACCAAATACATATTATCACCCTTATTGACATTAATCTGTACTTTTCATTATCACTAAGATCAAATGTCAACGAAACTTGTGATATGTTAACACATACTGTAGATGTGCATCAAAACAAAACAAATAAGTTCTACAATTACTGAGTATAGTACTTTTGATCAAAACTATGAAAAGCAAAACAGTTGGTGATGTCGTATTACACCAATGACATACACATTCATAATCAAAACAGTAGTTTTAAATGCTGTTTAGAAAACCGGTACAATAAATCCCTGTTTAATGAATTCACCTGATACACTCGCATTTACACAATATTCTCATTTTAGTAACCTTAACACTAGTTGCTTTAACATAAATTGTCAAAAACTTATTGCAAGAATCTATGCTGATGGTCATCTTTACTAGTTTTGTCATCGAATCATTATAGTCATTTTAAATGGAATAGTTTCATGAGGTATGAGAGTTGACCTACAATCGCTCTATAGTCCAAACAGTACCACTAATTATGCCCATTTGAAACATGCATAGAGTAAAAACAAAAAGAAGGAAATCTTTGAATTTCTTATAGATCCCTAAACTTTGTATGTGTTAGTGATAAATATGTGTAGTAGGATGCTGCCCATAACAATAGCTGATATTCGTTAACCAAATCAGGATAACATAACTAATTGTGTATATTATTTACTAGTGATTTATACCATGAAGCCTATACACTCCCATCGTTATTGTATTATTGAATTTAGACAGATAACACTTAATTATTTGGCTATTTCCATTTGTATAGAAAATGATAAAATTTCAAACTAAATTTTGACACAAATCCACTGTCCCTATGTTAGGATTTAAAACTAATAAACACTTGGTGAGGTTTGCGCTGCCCATTTGCATAACTCATTGTTGGTCTACTTAAACATCAACTTCAAACATTCAAAAATGAAGATTTTACAAAAGAAACGCTTTTCTGAAGAGTGAATTAGAACCTACAACATTCTGAAAGATATTAATGTCGTATACAAATTAACGTGCATCAATTTAATAATATTTAGACGAAATTATCTCATTAACTCTTCTTTCTAATGCTGAAGTTCTTCGCTGTATTATGAACGAAACTTGCTTCACAGTTGAATATATGGTATCCGATAGGAAACGCACTTATCTGTTACCTTACAAAGCAAAGTTTGCCAACAAAAATTAAACCATACAAATTCTGACCACCTGATAAAATTGAAGTTTAAATCGATAAGCAAGAAGCGACATAAACCAGTTTTTGAAATACTTAGAAGTACTATTGTGAAAGTGGAATGAAAAGAAAGTTATTACGTGATATAGAACATACAATGTTTCCATTACAAAAGAATTATGCGCATGACCAACTACATCCATCAAGAACAAGTACTTTTATTGTTAGTGATGCCTAAACATATGACTGAGGGGAAACGATAAAACATTAAGCAGAAAATGTTAGGCTTCATGTAACGGTATGGACGATGGATGAATTACACAAACGAACACAATTCCGGCTGACAAAACGTAACGAAACGAATTGTAAAGCATGAATTGATCATCAGTAAAAGCGAAATCTCTATATTGCTTCCCACACACAAGATGATACGTGTGCATTGGTTTATATCGCTGCACTTTAAAATACCAAAAAGGAAAATAAATGATGCATACGAAACATTCAAGTGAGAGTGACTAACCTCGGCAGTCTTTAGGCTGGAACTGAACTCAAATGTGACTTTAAAATACCAGCTGTCTCTTAATAGCATCCCGATCGTCTTATATACCCTATAACTTTAATATTACCTAAGTGGCTCCCACCCAGAGACAGACAGATATTATGAACATAAGAACTGAGACTATTATGTGGCGGTTCAAGTTGCCACAAGAAGATGGAAATAATACTACTGGAAATTGTAAAGTCATTGGTTATTATTTTTCTGTGACTTTGATTAATACTAGAATTCTATTGGTTATCATTCGAGTGCAATTGAGTGTATGCTAATGTTGTAACTATGTTAGTGTACATACAGGTATTTAAAACTGTATGAATGAGACTGTGTTAAATGTTTGGCGGGACTTTCGTTAGCGAACTGTTTGATGGACTGTTTGTGTGACCTGATTTTGGGACTGCATAAAATATACCTATTACAATTACAATACTTGTTCTCGCTGCACCATTCCGGATTACTATTACTAGTAAATACTAAATGTGGATTAATTAATTTGTAATTCTATTCGAAAAACCGCCCATCTAACAATTTCAAACAGGTTACTTGTATAGCTGGCTTCATGAAAGGAGCTTTGAAATCATACAGCATCAATTAGTTTTCAGACACATCACGAAGGTATCGACTCCCACGATAGTGAAAACCGGAAATTAGCTGTTGCTTTCAATTCCAATTCTTATTAGCTCAGCACTGGAAGTGGATCTCTAAAACTTTATCAAAACCAATCCACCAGCTGACTCCTAGTACGATAAAAAGTGAGACTAACTAAACAGTTGATCGACTGAGAATTTTCGTAGTGTCTGTGGGCAGTTGCAGACGCTGAATACAAGGGAAGTGTTAAGTAACAGATTGTTTTTATTTCAAACAACTAGAAACTAGTCGAAAAAGGTGATATTCGGTAAGATTACAAAAAAACGCAGGTCATTCATACTCTCAGAACATAAAGAAACACTTTGAGGAGGAGTATAGATGACTTATAACTGTGCTTTAGTTACCCATGTTTCAATCATAGGTAAAATCAGATATGAGAATTAATTCACAAACCCAGAGTAAAATTGAAAACTTTTGATTGTATAGATAGTATAGTACCTAGACAGTGTCAGTACTGTTCCAAATTAGGAATAAACCGTATCTCTGTGATAGATATAATTACTTGCCTTAGTTTGTCAATCATTGTTCACAGCTGATAGTATTTACTTTAAAGGTTATCAGTATTCGTATGAAGTATCTGAAATTTAAAAGTTCTAAGACTTATCCAGATTACTACGAAACAAGCGGCATGAAGGTTGTCCCTCATTACTTAATAAAACGGTATCATCCATCGAAATTAAAATGTATAATATCCATCAATTAAAACAGCCTGCATTTGTTAGGGATGCCGATATCTCTTACATTCCACACTTACAGTCATGTATATATTTCGTATGACCCACTATTGTTTTGATTGACTCCTGCCTCTTTAAATATGTTAATGATTCCTTGTCTTTCAAGGTTACTGTAAACTCTATAAGTAGGTTCAGTTTTTACTCATAAACGCTTCAGTCCGAAATACTAAAAACTCATCTGGTTTCCAGTCTTTTGATTTCTCTTTGCGAATCACTCGGGCTGCATCGTCTCAACCGTCGACTACCAATCGTTAAGTATTTCCGTTCGTTCTCACAACTCCGTATCATAACAGCACGTGGGTTTTTTCCCTAATTAGTCCCCATAACTTTGAGAGTAAATCGATGGTATCTTGAAAATCAACCTTGATGAAAAACACTCCCTTAACAAAGGGTAGTAATTCAGCTACCAAAATCGTTTCTATGTACCAAGAAACTGACACTTTATGGAGCTATACTGAAAAGTCAAACTATATTTTATCTTCCACTAGAAATAACCGTAATGATTGCTGACAGATGTATTAAGACAACTGGAAACTGTCTACGAATAGAACAGATGTAGATAGTGCTGAGAATATGGCGAGAGTGAGATGCTTCAGCCAACATTTTCATAAGGTCACAGAGAGCTAAGCATTAGTCAAAGCCGTTACTGTAAAAGCAATCGTAGGACACAAGGGACTAGGCACCGTGTCACTTATTTCAACGTTGGACATAAAGCTCGTATACTACTTACAAATTCCAAGTAAGCAGAACGTCATTTTATAGATAATCAAACCAAGTTCAGATTAGATGGTTTGAAATTAAAATTAGTGTAAATTAGGTCATACTAAAAAATATGATCCGCTCCAGTTTTCTAGTTATTAGAGGAGCAAGGACAACAGTTCATGCATGAGGTATTCGATGGACATCATTTGGTTGCAAATTCATGATGGCGTAATCCAGAACAACTGACAGAAACAGGATTAAAGGAAATCACATTTTACGTGTGCTAAAGTATGAGCATCCATATATATATATATATATATATATATATATATATATATATATATATATATATATATATCACTAAATAAAGGTGTCTACTTAAAGTAAATTATTTAGAGTGAAGAGTAATTCAGTTACCAATCCTTATTTTTACTCCAACATGAGAACTGTGCTCATACAGCTGATAGACAGAGTGCGGTGAGAAAATATAAGCATACTACAACCTCATTTTTTGCCATCGTATTCCATTCATTACCTTAACTGAAAAGATAGCTTACAGATTAGATCAAACCAAAGTCAGTAGATAGATTCGGTAACCAAATGCATTTAAGTAACGATTAACGACAAGTGGTTGCAGGATGGGTAGTAGTGGTCACGATAAGCACTTCCAACTCAAGACTGTGAACCCCGACTATGCTGGCATATTCTTCCTAAAAGAGAAAGAAATATGATAGTTATTGATGTTAACCTTTTTATCACTAATGTAGTCTTCAACACAGATCTTCAGAACTATGCAGTTCCCACAATATAAGATTGCTCCTTACGAAATGTGAGCAGCAAGATTGAAAGCATATAGAGTCAGAAACAGAGGACTTTCGAAAATGTCGGGGAGGAAGACGGAAGTGGGGAGAACTTATATGCATGAAAGACCAAATAACAAGTTACTTTGTGAAACCTCTTTTCCGTAGCCATTCAATATATTTGTATCTCAGACCAAGCTTCCAAGGAAGGTTCCGAGCAACTGCGATCGTACTATCATTCTATTAGCCTAACTAGTATATTGGTAGCAAAGTCTCTATTCATACTGAAAATCAGTAACGAATATCACAACAGCATGCCTTTCACTTCAGTTTCTTTTGATGACCTAACTTTCTCATAGCAAGAACTTAACAATAGCAGCTAATGACAAGCTGTTGTTAGATGTGCTTCTTGAAGACATCTCAGGTGTAGGATTAATGAGGAAGACAACTAGTTTTGGATCTGATAATACGAAGCAGGTCTGGATCCAGTCAGTCAACACCAACACAGGACCTGGGAATATTGCGTAACGGATTAAGTTGTCATGTCTCACACCAGAATGTCGAGGGAGAAGGCATCAAATTAGAAGACAGAAATAGAAGGAATAAAGCAACCAGAAGTGATGGAAAGTTATAAACAGAGAATAAGGAGAAATGAAACAATAGTGAAGTTCGGCATGACAGTTAGTATGAAAATAATGTGTGAATACATTTGTACTATATCACCCAGAGCTTCCAAGCACCAATTTTGCTTGTCACCCAGACACCGAGTGGGAAACCTACATTCCCTACAGGGATCAAACCAGTAGTCAAAGACTTTAGCCACTGATGCCATCTTTTATTTATGCCACCTCTGACTTTTTTGCAGCATGAACATACTTCAGATAACACTGCGTGACGCAACAGACGGTGACTGCGTATCCATAGCACATATGTCAGTTATATAAGTCGATGAAGGTTCAGAAACTCATCAACCTCTTCTGCCTAAAATTCTAGGCTTAACTTCTGCATTACTGACATGGAAGCACCGCGACTCATAGCCTATACTACGAACGTGAAGATGGTGGAATGCCTGAAGCCAACTCATGCCTTCTGTTTTCAGTGGCCATGTTTCACAGCCGTTTGGTAGAACAGCCAACTGTTACGTAGTGCACTCAACCATTAATGATCATCCTGATATCACATCGGTTCAAAAGCCAAACGAGCCCTATATATTCGTACCGAGATTTTGTTGGTCACTGACCCATCAGGGCTAATTCAACTTCTCAAATGAAGAGGTCAACGTTCTCAACCATTTCACGTATTATTGTTAGACGGAGCACCACCACAGACCATTTTAGGAACAAGAGCTTGCATTTACGTGGCGAGAAATGTATCCCAAACATTCAAAAATTCTTACTCACGGTGTTCAGAAGACTGCACCTTGTCAGCATCTTCACCCAACAGGACTGCTTAGTATACGCCTATTAGGGGGTCTCCGGTAATCAGACAACGAGAGGTAAACCTCCATAAACATTTCTATAACGAAATAAAATAAAAGTGGAGACAGTGGAAATTTCTGACGGACACCACTCGATGTACACAACTTACCTGACACCTAACCACAGGCTCTAATACGCCAACAGGTGTTCGAGTATACAGCCTTCAAAAGGATGATGAGCTTATCCGGTATAACCTTCAGTCATAAACACCGTCATAAGGCTTCCTGATCGACGTAGACCAGTGACGTCTTCATGTCAAGAAATAGAGCTAGTATCGGCCAATGATAAGCATGTATATGTTCCAATACCTGGCGGATGGTGACAATGCAACCGATTTACTCACAACTAGATCTGAAACATCTCTAACTTTCTTAAGAACATTGTTCTTGAGCTCCACTCGCGTGTCTGGTGATACCAGATAAAATTCTTAGCGCTATATTTATCAAACTGATTCCCTTATGCTTAAAAAAGGAGGATTTCTCTCCTTCCCTAAAGACTGGTATGATTAGTGATTGAGACAAGTCAGAGGGGTCGTATCTTAGTCCCATATGCAAACTAACATATTAATTAATCCAGCCAATAATTAACGATCATTATCTTTAAACACCTCCGGTTATACCCATCTTGTTCTGCCACCATTTCAAGTTTAAGATTGGCTAAAGCCTTATCAACCTTTTATAGACTTGGAAGATATGTATTTCGCTCAGTCTAACCTAATAGTGGGTAACGGAAAAGTAGTTGGTCGGCCAGTTGAACTGTTCCTTGAAGTGTTTCTGTTATGATGCACAGGTATGAGAAAGAACGATAATACCGAACGACTGATAGTGGAGGGTTGAGACGACTCAACCCGAGTGGTTCGCAAGAGAAATCAAAAGACTGGTGATTTATTGAGTTCATAGTATCTCAAACTAAAAACGTTTATTCGTGAAAAAGGACCCCTTCTTTAGTGTACAGTAACCTTGAAAGGCAAGGAATAATGAGTACATTTAAAAAGGCAGGAAATAATTAGAACGCTACCGGGTCATAAGAAATATGACCCATGCGAGGGGAAAAGAGCGCGAAGTAAAAAAGTTCAAATATACCCAAACTAAGTATGTAATACAAGAGATATAGGCACCCCCAACAGCTTCATCCAACCTACCCTGGTTAACTAGTTTACTAGTTACTAGCGGGTCCTAAGCCCCCAAAAAGAGGGAAGGTAGGGCATAGGGCTAGCAACCCTAGTACCAGAAAACAAATCCAACTGCTAAAGAAACTTCAAAGCACAAACAAAATATAAAAAATGAAAACAAACTTATTCCCCGCTGGAATCGGAGAGGCGAAATGACGCCAGTTGGTCAAAGCCTTCGGGAAGCCAATTGACCGGGCCGATGTGTCTTCTCTCCTCTCGATGAAAGCGAAAGTAAACGTGGGGACATGGAATGTCCGTACGATGTTTGAACCCAGTAAGGCAGTCCAGATTGCAAATGAGATGAGAAGGTATCACATCGAAGTGCTTGGAATTTGCGAAAGCAGATGGAATCGGAATGGACTCTCCAAACGGTCAACTGGAGAATCAATAATCTACTCCGACATTGTCACCCAGACGACAACCACGAGCACACTGAGTATTGGAGTGGCTATCATGATGTCCTCAAGAGCATCGAAGGCTCTCATGCAGTGGGAACCAATCTCCTCATGCAGGGTCATGACAGCGAGGTTCAACTCAAAAGGAAGGAGGGTCACAATCATACAATGTTACGCACCTACAAATAATGCAGAGCAAGAGAAGAAGGAAGGATTCTACAGACAACTGCAATCAACACTGGACAAGACACTGCCTCAGCTGGCGATATCAAAATTCTAATGGGCGACATGAATGACAAACTGGGAGCAGATAACACAAGAAGAGAACTAATCATGGATTGAGAAGCGCTCGGTGAGGTGATGAACGAGAATGGAGAATTGTTTGCAGAATTGTGTGCATTCAACGATTTGGTGATTGGAGGCGAGACAGTGTGTTCAGGCACAAAGATATCCACAAACCGAGCGACATGGATTCGATTTCACCAGACACCAGGACACACTAAAAATCAGATCGACTTTATCTCAATCTCAAGAAAATGGAGACGCAGTCTACTTGACACAAGGTCAAGAAGAGGAGCAGATGCAGGTCCAGACCACTATCTATTGCGAGGAACCTGCCTTCCAAACCAAGTTAAAAGCCTTCAAGGAAGCTGGTGATAGACCGCAGTTCAAGATCGAGTTCAACACCCAGAACAGAAAGTGAAGGACGAAACTACAAAGCAAATCTTCACAGCAGCCATCAAGACAAAATGGGAGATATCGAGGAACATCCCTGAAGAAACCTGTGTGGAAGAACACTGGAAGTCTTTGAAAGCTATGTGGAAAGAAACCTGCACAGCCGTATTAGGAGGGAAGAAGAAAGAAGACAAGGAATGGATCCCAATGGATACATGGAAGCTGATAGAGGAGAGGAGGATGGTGAAGCAGAAGATAAACCAGTGCAAGGACGCTCAACGACAAGAGGAACTGAGCACAATGTATAAAACACAACACTGGACAAAGAAGTGAAGAAGAGTGCACGCAAAGACAAAAGACACTTCGACGAAACACTGGCAAGTGAAGCAGAACAGGCTGCAGGTAAGAGAGACAGAGATCTGACGACATTGTATCAAATAACCAGGTTGCTCACTATTTGGGAAGAGATCAACGCACATGAAACCAATAAAAGATGATGACGGAAATTTAATTACGAAACAAGAGAAACAAAGGAAACGATGGGCCAACCACTACAAAAAGCTCTTGAATCGACCACCACCTGTACTTCGTCCAGAAATACCACCCGCAGCCGCTGAATTACAAGTGAACATAAATCCTCCAACAAAAGTGGAAGTCCTAAACGCCATAAAGCTACTGAAATGCAGGAAAGCAGCAGGACCAGACGGGATACCGCCAGAAGCACTGAAAACAGACGCAGAGACAACAGCGGACATGCTCACACCACACCACTATTGCAGAAGGTGTGGAAGGAAGAGAAGGTATCTACCCACTGATTGTAAGAAGGGCTACCTTGTTAAACTCCCGAAGAAGGGAGACCTATGTCTTTGCAAGAACTGGCGCGGAATCACTCTCCTGTCCACCCAGAGCAAGCAAAATATTAGGCCATATCATCCTGGAGAGGCTAAAGGATGTGCTGCATTCAAAACTACGACCGGAACAGGCAGGCTTCAGGAAGTACAAATCATGTGCAGACCAAATTGCAACGCTACACTTAGCATCATCATAGAACAGAGTATAGAATGGCAGTCAACTCTCTACCTCACCTCAACTTCATCGACCTTGAGAAGGCCTTTGACAGCGTCGACCGAGAAGTAATTTGGAAGCTGCTTCAATACTACGGAATACCGCAAACCTTTATCAATCTCATTCAACAACTATATGAAGACACCACATGCCAGCCAAGTAATTCACAATGGGAAACTCAGTGATGATTTTGAAGTGAAGACGGGAATGAAACAAGGTTGCATACTATCACCCATGATATTCTTGATTGTGGTGGACTGGATCATGCAGCAAACAGTGAGGAGCGAGAAGAGGGGGATACACTGGCTGGACTGAGGAAAAGAACCCAGAAGATCTGGATTTAACCGACGACTTGAGTCTGAGTCACATAAACTTGAAGATCGACAGGCGAAAACTAACAAGTTGATAGGAGAGGTAGGGCAACGAAGACGGGACTTCAAGTGAATATAGAGAAGACAGAGGTGATGAAGATACCGCACCACCACCAACAACAACAAACTCCAGTCACGATCAACGGGAGGAACTTAAAGGAAGTAACCTCCTTCACTTATCTAGGCAGCACTGTTTCAACTACAGGCGGCAGGGACGAGGACGTCAAAGTCAGAATCGGAAAAGCAAGACAGGCGTTCATTAGCCTGAAACCAGTGTGGAGATCTTCTGCACTGCACTCAGCATGTGGAACAAGATACGGATTTTCAACACCAACATCAAGTCAGTGTTTCTGTATGGTTCAGAGGCTTGGCGCGTCACGAAAGGCATTTCCAATAAACTACAGACATTCATCAACAACTGCCTACTCTGGCTCGTTACTGAAGATCAGATGGCTAGAATAACAAGAATCAGCAACAAGGAACTCTGACCTGTCAACGCACCAACCAAGAACCTACTACTCAACAAATATGCAGGAGGAAGTGGAGATGGATTGGGCATACACTGAGAAGACCGACTGCGGACATCACGCGTCAGGCCGTCGAGTGGAACCCCCATGGGAAGCGACGAGTTTGGCGTCCGAGGTGAGGGTGACATGGAGGAGATCGTGCGAGGGGGAAATGAGAGCTTCTGGGCTGTCATGGAGCCAGGTTCAAAAGATTTCAGATAACAGAGTTCACTGGAGACGTGCTACTGAATCCCTATGTTCCATTAGGAACCCAAGGGACTAATAATAAAAAATAATAATAACAGCTTCATCTATCGTTCATGTTGTTCCCCTTCTGAATGTATCGCTAAGCGATCCTTCTCCGTTAGAGTCACACTAAACATTAGCTGTTCGTACAAGTTTCCTTGATCAACCTGCGCAACTGTCTACTGTTATCTATCGCTCCTCCTTTCTCCATATCTTTAGCCTTCGCTATCCACTGATGTACGTAGTTACTGAACACATTATTTTCCAACCCAACTCTTAGTTTCTTCCACTCTTTACTGTGCTTGAATTCTGCAGGAATACGTTTCTTCATATCAATTAATTCAAAGGAAGCTATTTAGTCACAATGACCACCTCTAGTCTGTTTCTAAGCTTTTCTTATGGTCTTCAACTCTGTTTCTGCAGCATACTGCAGATGTTGCCAGGCTGCCAAAGGTTAGCGCGCACCCATGACTATCTAGTCAATTTCTCGTTCAAAGAAATTTCAGTGTCTTCGCGGTCAAAATGCGCCAAGAGAAGTTGGCTCAAGTTGCCACACTTCTAAGTAGTATACAAAAAACAGGTGGATAGAAAAAGACTTATTTCAAAGTGGACAAAGTTGTGTGAGAGAATAAACAATCTGAAGACAAAGGTTAGTTAGAATGTTCAAGCTTCAGAAGACATCAAAGAGTGAATACATCTGCGCCATTGTAACCACTGCAACTATTGTGACCTATTTCCAACTATATCACAAAGAGTCCTCAACGGCTGATACCTTTCATCTCAGCAACCACAGTCAGGCAGTCTTCATCTCCCCAAACAACTCAGATAAACAGTTAGAGATTTTATGGACTGGTATTACCCCCTGGTCTGGTCACCCTGAACCCTCTTCCAACATAATCCAACTACCCCCAGCATGACACGTCGAGGTAGACGCTGGTTCGGCACCCGCAGTGCATTTCCAAGCCACCACAGTCGACCAGGGTTCAAAACCTTATCCTCCTTAGTACCCTTCGCCTGACCTCAACTTCCATCACAAGGTGATTCCATCAAACGCTAGCAATGTCACGAAAACACCTGTAGTCAAAACCGTACAACCACCTCATGTTTTCTACCTCTAATGGCCATACCTCACAGCCGTATAACAGGACAGAACGGACCGTAGTGCAGTATACCCATTCTTTGATAGGTAGCTGTATATCTGGCCAGTCGGAGCCACACATGACGCAATTTGGCAACTGCCAAATGGGCTTTCTGTATCCCAGCTTAAATTTCGCCACCAACCAGCCCGTTCGGGCTGATGCAACCCCCCAAGTAAGTGAAGTGGTCAACACATCCCAACACTTCTCTCGTTATCATTAAACTGAGAGTGCTTGCAGACCAGTCCAGCACCATCGTCTTACATCTGAGAGGTGCGAAACGAATGCCAAACACACTTAAATTCCTACTCCTGTTCAGAGGACCCTGCATTTTGTCAGCGTCTTGACGCAGAAGAACCATGTCGTCTGCATATTCCAAGTCAACAAGATGACCTCCAAGGAGTAGATCAATCCAAGTAAAGTCATACCTAAGTAGGATTATGTTCATCAGTACGTCTATGACAAGGTTAAATAAAAACGGTGACAGTGTGCATTTCTGGCGGACACCACTGGTCCTCGTCAGTTCCCATAAAAACTACCCATAAGCCCTCACACGGCTGCATGAGTTCGAGTAGAGAGATTTGACTAGCCTCATATACTTTCTCGGTACTTCCCTCACAGTCAAACACTGTCACAACACCTTACGGTCAACGGAGCCAAATGTCGCCTTCAGGTCAAGAAATATGGCAAGTCTCGGTCACTACCCGGCAAGCATGTCTGTTCCAGGACCTGTTGAAAGGTGAAAATATGATCGATGAACCTTCATTCAATTCTGAAACCTGCCTGGCTTACCGCAAGTTTTTTCTCAAGATCCAGTTAGGCGTCGAACAACTAAGGATACTAGTATCTTGGATATAATATTAGTAAAACTTATTCCCCATATGGTTGTCACAAGTTCTTTCCCCCTTCTTATAGACTGGAATGATCAGTGAAGTAGACCAGTCTAACGATACTACCTCTGATTTCCATACTCCACCTAGTACCACCGTCAATTTATTCAGTAATTTTCTACCTCCATCCTAGAAAACTTCAGGTGGCAAACTATCAGGCCATGTCGGTTTGCATCTTTTCAGGTTCGATACACCCTTTTCAATTTCAGAGAGAGTTGGAAGACCGACATCTACGTCCTATTCAGGTTCAGGTTGGATGTTGGGCAAATGAGGAGTTTCTGAGAACCAGTGGAACTGGGCAGCAAAGTGCTCTTCCAAACGTCTTAGTCATCTGTCCCGGGAGGTTATCAGCGTCAAATTTTTCAGCAGTGGTTTCACTAACCATCACCTTGTCGATCTCCTTAAAAAGCCTATAAAGTTGTCGAGTTTTACCTAACCCTGATGCCTTTTCCATCTTTCTCACTTTCGCCACTCAACACTACTCGCCATCATTGTGAAAACTCGGTTAATTTACATTGAAGTTGCTTTCGTTCTTTATCGTGGTCAGAGCCAGATGGAATCAGGCTTCTCGCACCAACCAGTCTGTAACAAGATTTCCACTCTGTTCAGCAAAGATATCAGGTTTTTCAAGCGAAATGTAATGAATACTGAATCCCACCAAAATACAGCATCAGGTACTCATGGTCATCCACTGCATTACATCCATATGTGTTATAACACATATGCGTTTGCAATGGAACAACTTTCGATTTAGACAGATACAACAATGAGTGATTCTGTAGCAATCAAGAAGACTATCACAGGGATAAAGTACCGGTTTAACAAAAACAGCGACCGAGTAAAGAAACAGAAGAAGAAGGGAGGGAAGTAGCAGTAAGAAAGCCTCACCGGTAATTTCATCCTGTTACAGAATGTTGTCTGCCACAACCTTATTAAGGACTTCCCGCCCACTGATCTATGTTATATGGATCCCTTCGACAAAGAAAAAAGTGGAGGAGTCACGGTATACCGAATGGATAACGTTTAACGGTCTATGGTCGGTTATAATCTTTTGAAGTGTCTTCGGCAGAAGACATGTTCAACTAACTTCATCTCCCGATCACAATAAACATCTATTATAATACAATGGCATACTTAGTTCGTTTGCTGGCAATGGTAATATCAGGCTTTTTGTTGAGTCATAGAATACGTGTCAGTTAAACAACTACGTTAAGTAATATGCAGTGCTCGAAAATTCGGGGTAGCTTGAGGAACTGCAAAAAGTATACAAAATGCATCCGAGCACTGTAGAAAATGTGTTGTGCTCACAAATTTTGTTCAAAATACCAGTGGTTCACTGATTTTCAAGCAGGAAGTATTTAAGCTAGTCTATCATCTCATATTCTATTCAGATGTACAAATTACTGGTTGAAAAATGTTTTTGTGCAAGTCAAAGACCATTTTATTGGCTCTTTATAAGACATCAATTACCTCAAGTTCGCAGCATCACCTAATTAAGAATCGTTACACGTTAAAAACGTATGTACGACTAATGACCTTGAGATCAGTTAACGCTCCAAAAGTTATTCGCATTAGTTCTGACTTATTAAAAGTCTTCAGAAGATATAACTGATCAATAAACAGTATTCAAGGTACTGACCGCCGAAAGCTACTTATCTGAACAAGATAAGCATATTACTTGGTGAAATTTATGATACTATGATAAATTCTACATGCAGAAGTCAGTTAAGCGAAAGCTTATTCCATTACCTCAATAAACATTTAGACCATTTGAACCATTTAAATTCAGTGTTCAGAAACACACAGGGCATCCAACTGTCTCGTAACGTTTCTTGTGTGGGTGCAAATTAGAAGATTTGGAATCGCTTCGAGGCAATTTATCAGGGTCATAGATTCTTTGTGTTGGTGGAGAGTTTATTAATTGACTACTCTGCTACATTTGTAATCGTAAAAAACAGTAGTAAGAATAATTTCACTCGACCTATTCCCCGAATAAGGACCCTAGCTCCCATCCTGTTCGCCTAGTTGGGTACGTATACTTCTTGATATTTTTGATATCTGTTGCTATCATTTTCCGTAAATACTTCACACTAGCCAATGAACTATGGCTAAAACATGTGTCTAATGAAGCTTTATACGGCTTATCAGACATTAGCCTGTAAAATCAAAACTTCACCAGCAACTGTCCAAAAGCCTGTTTAGGATTTGTCCTGGTGCGAGCTTGACAGACGCAAAGACCAATCACTAATTATTCCAACTTGTTATATACCCACGAATACGAGACCAAGGAAGAACACGATAGCGTAGTCGGATGGAATAGTATATTTGGATAGTTGTGCCAAAATATCGATGCGTTCCAACTAACTGGCTAGAGAGTCGAATACGAGCAATGCAACGTAACACGACAGCGTGCCAAATGGCCAGGATGCTTGACCGGGTGCCTTCAGCTTAGCGAGTCCAGTTAAACTATCAAGGTCAGCATCAATGTCGAAATCGTCAAACCCTAGGCTATTGATTTTGGGGAAGTGTGTGACGCTACAGATCACTCCCCCCCTAGTGGGTTCGTGAGGACCCTAAGACTATACCAGCCGGAAGTAAAGACTCAGTGGTTTCTCCACTGATAAAACTCTTCCGATGGGCTCACTGTGTGAAGTGGCCCCTGGTTGTCTGAACCTATTCCAGGGTGTCGTGGCAATTAAATAATAAAATACAATAAATGAATTGTACGTCGATCGTGGTCATCAGTTCTTTTTGACGTTCCGTCCAGTGCTCGTTGCACCTGGAATATAAGTGAAAGCCTTTAATACCACGAAAACGTTTCGTAAAAATGGGAATTATTTATGTATAAACATATCGAAAAATAAAAATTTACGCTTATCTTCACCGTTTTTTTTAAAGTTTCATTACATGGTAATAAAAATTGATACAAAAAGGCAAAGTGTACGAGGGTTTGTGCATTGCCGGTAAATAAACAAAACAGTGCCTCGGAGAACTTAAAAAATTTGAGAGTTGTGGACGACAACTCATGATGCAGCTCAAGGCCTCCCTTTTGACGCCGAGCTAGTTCAGTGAGATCAAGCCCTCGATATGATTTATCGAAGCTATTCGAGATAGTGCGTCGGCTGCGGAGTTGTTTGCTCCAGAAATGTGGCGGATGTCTGACGTGAACTGGGAAATGTAATCCAGCTGTCGCGACTCACGAGGGGAGTATTTGTCAGACGCCGAGCTGAGGGAAAACGTTAACGGTTTGTGGTCTGTGAAAATAATGAAATCACGACCTTCCACAGAATGTCGAAAATGGCGTACAGAACAGTACATGGCTAGGAGTTCCCTACCAAATGTACTGTATCTTGTTTCCGCGTCTTGCAGCCGCCTCGAGAAAAAGGCTAACGGTTGCCACTGGTTGTCAGTCAACTGTTGCAAAACTGCTCCAATTGCTGAATCAGATGCATCAACAGCAATACTCAAAGGAGCATTGGGGTCATGATGCATAAGCATGGTTGCGTTCGAAATGGCTTCCTTGACTTTAGAGAAAGCAAGTCTAGCCGCGTTGTCCAGAGACACGAACTTCGCAGTTCCTCGAAGTAGATCTGTTAGTGGTCTCATGACAGAGGCACAGTTAGGGATAAACCTTCGGTAATAACTTACCAGGCCATTGAAAGTGCGGAGATGTTTCACAGTGGTCGGCTCTGGATAGTTTGTGATAGCCGCCACTTTATCTCTCAATGGGCGTATACCTTTGTTGTCAATGGTATGCCCAAGGAAGCTGAGTGATTCAACTCCTATTTCACACTTCTGTAAGTTAACTGTGATGCCATGTTTTTTGAGTCTTTCGAATGCGAGGTCCAAATGTTTAAGGTGTGTTTCCTTATCTGGACTCGCAATTAGACAGTCATCGATGTAGACATGAACAAAATTCAGACCACGGAAGACGTCGTCCATAAAGCGTTGGAATGTTTGTGCTGCATTCCGAAGACCAAATGGCATGCGCAGGAATTCAAACAGGCCAAAAGGAGTAATAATGGCTGTTTTCGCGATATCTTCTGCTGCCATAGGTATCTGGTTGTACGCTTTGACCAAGTCGATTTTCGAGAAAATGTTCATGCCGCATAAGGTTGCGGTCAAGTCGTAAACGTGGGTATAGGGTAGCAGTCCGGAGTTGTTTTGGCGTTAAGCCTTCGGTAATCACCGGTTGGACGCCAGTCGTTGCTATCCTTTTTGGGAACCATGTGCAATGGCGATGCCCAAGGACTGTTTGACGGTCTGATAATGCCCAGTTCGAGCATGTGGTCGAATTCATTTTTCGCCGTTTGGAGCTTATCGGGGGCTAAACGGCGAGCTTTGGATGCCACAGGTGGACCTGTGGTTGTGACGTGATGCATAACATTGCTGGTTATGCACGGAAGAGTGTGCTTCGGTTGCTGTAACTCTGGATATTTCTCCAGAACTGCCTGGTAGGACGCGTCGTCTGATTGTTTAGTCCTAACGATGGCTAAACTCGGACCTACATAGGTGGTGCCGCCAATAGATAACTTTGTGTGTTATCTATCAGTCGTCGACGGCGAGCATCTACGAGTAGATCGTAATGGTTTAGCAAATCTATGCCAATGATGGGCATAGAGACGTCAGCCAGGAGGAAGATCCAGTGAATAGGTTTGCGTAAACCTAAGTTGAGGTAGGCATACCGTCTCCCGAATGTCGCGATTGCCTTGCCGTTGGCTGCTTGAAGATTGAAGGATGGGTCGAGATGACGCTCCTTTGTCGTTGCTGGAAGAACGCTAACTTCTGCGCCGGTGTCGACGAGGTAGCGGACTTTCGTTTTAATGTCGGTGACGTAGAGCAAACGGCTTTTTCCGCCGGCTACGGTTGCCGTGAGCACGTGCCGGCGTGACCGTTTCCCGAGTTTGTGTCCTTCTTAAAACGGCATGGTTTACGACATTTTCTGGCTTCATCCCCGTAAGTGTTATGAAACCAGCACCATTCAGGGTTTTCCACCCTGTTGGGTTTCGTTTTAGGGCTACCACGCGACTTGCTGCGATGCGCCAAGGTGCGTTTCTGTGAAGTGCTACGTGATCTAGGACTTCGAGATCGTAGCAACCGTTTCACAGAGTTGCACAACTTGGTCACCTCTGAATCCTGGCTCTGGTTTGTCGCAGATAGAATATACGTTGGAGACGGGTCTGCTGGATATCTCCAGTATTTTATCTGCTGAGGCTGCCAGGTCGTCGAGTGGGACTGACTGGAGTGTCACCAACACGGTTTGCACCGGTTGTGGTAGTTTCGAGAGAAATAGTTCTCGGAAGAAACCATCGTCAAATGTTCGTGCACCGATTACTTCTCGCATGCGTGCGAGGACTTCAGTAGCTGAGTGGCTGCCTAGCTCGATGTTACGAAGCAATTCGTCTAGACGTTGGCGATCTGTGAGATCGCTTTTCTTCAAGAGTGCGGCCTTTAGAAGTGCATAAGGGTTTACTTCAGGATTAAACATGTTTGCTGTAACATACCTGTTTAATTCTCGCGGTAGTGAACGTATGACAGCAAGAAATCGAGATTGAGGATCTGAGACACCCTGTTCTCGAAAATCGGCCTCGGCATACAGAAACCATGTTTCTGCATTGTCTGGCCAATATGGCACGAGTTGGATCGTGTTCGAGTCGGCTTAATACGAATAAGCTTGGGAGTGTGGTCGGACATGAGAAAGTGTAGTAAATGGATATATAAATGTTATCGAAATGAAAACAATAAACAAATATAAAATGGAACAGGCTCACCAATTCAATACTTGTTATTGGTCGGGATATGTGATCACGTCGGGATATTGATCACGTCGGGCTCACCAATTTAGGATTTGTCCTGGTGCGAACTTGACAGACGCAAAGACCAATCACTAATTATTCGAACTTGTTATATACCCACGAATACGAGACCAAGGAAGAACACGATAGCGTAGTCGGATGGAATAGTATATTTGGATGGTTATGCCAAAATACCGATGCGTTCCAACTAACTGGCTAGAGAGTCGAATACGAGCAATGCAACGTAACACGACAGCGTGCCAAATGGCGAGGATGCTTGACCGGGTGCCTTCAGCTTAGCGAGTCCAGTTAAACTATCAAGGTCAGCATCAATGTCGAAGTCGTCAAACCCTAGGCTATTGATTTTGGGGAAGTGTACGACGCTACACCATCATACTTCTTTAAGTATGATGGGCCCGATATTGCATTGTTGTTACCTAAGATATATTCTACGTCTCGAGAATCTTTCATGTATGCTGGCATCTGGAAAACACCGTTTACTTTATTATTATTATTATTATTATTATTATTATTATTATTATTATTATTATTAGTCCCCTGGGTTCCTAATGGAACATAGGGATTCAGTAGCACGTCTCCAGTGAACTCTGTTATCTGAAGTCTTTTGAACCTGGCTCCATGACAACCCAGAAGTTCTCATTTCCCCCTCGCACGATCTCCTCCATGTCACCCTCACCTCGGACGCCAAACTCGTCGCTTCCCATGGGGGTTCCACTCGACGGCCTGACGCGTGATGTCCGCAGTCGGTCTTCTCAGTGTATGC